TCCTCTTGGTGCAAAAAGGCCTCTTTGCACATAAATGGCACAAACCACAACGACATCTAAAAAATGGTTGTAGGTAAGACAAAACAAACACGGGTGACAGTTTTACTGCTTTCTTGTGGAAGGAGAGGAGGATGCAAGTGCTGAGAATTCTCCTTACAAAGTGGAGACGCACTGCCACTTCACTGTTTTGCCTTCTATTCCTAATATTTGTATCTCAAAGTATTTGAAAACCCCAATAGAAATAAGCTTGTTCTTTACAGCTCTTGATTATGTGTGCACACAGAGTGGACAAAGTTAGGAAAAATAGGATATAACTGCACACAGGTGGCTTAAAAATAAAGAAACATCACCTGTGTATGAATAAGACTAAATAAGCTTGTGTAGATGGAAAAGGGCTGCTTCCCAATAGATTTTTCCACAAGGAGGAGGTATATAACTTGCTTACATCTTCACTCTATGTTTAACATATAAGCAGAGAGGCTCAGCTGCCAAGGAAAGCCACAGGCCAAAGAAGAATCAAACTAGTTTCGCTACCCACTTTTGGAAGGGGGTAGAAACAGGGAGAAACAGCTTGCACCCCTTGCCGTCTTTCTTCTGTATGCTCAGTATCAGTGCTGTGGTTGTTGGCTGGCACACAAGAAACATGCCTCAGCCAGCAGGACCACATTGCCTTTTTGCAGTAAGACAGAAAACATCTGGCAAGTAGAATCTGTAAGAAGTCAGGGGACGAAAACAGAATATGAAAGTCTTTCTTACACTACATCTTCTGCCTATTTGAAATATTAGCAGGAGGAGGAATATACATTGTCTATATAACCCACAACTTTGAGCAATCATTACTTGTCATGGAGTTTGATCCACAAGGGAAAGAACTTTATCTTGATACACAGAGTAGAAATTAAACTTATATACAGGTGCAGAGATGTACCAAGAAATTATGCAGCATAGTAGTCATAAGTTTCTGAATCATAAAGTACCTTAACAACACAAGTATGAAAAGTGATTTTTTTTTTAGACTATATATTTATTAGAAGCAGTATTAATGTATGAATCCACCTTGGAAGAAAATAAGTGTCCTTGAGATAGTAGATTCTATCTGCCAAATTGAATGTCTGCATCAATGGCTCTCCCTAAAAGTCATAATTAGGTCATTAAAATATATTTAGAAAAATAGCCTGTAAAATAAAGTTAAAAAATACTCACCTTCATTTTATTTCATAGGTCACTGTTATACCATCTAATAAGATAATTAAAAACATGCAAGCAGCTGGTACTGAGGCTAAACAGATTAATGTAATAGTCTGTAGTCATATGTGCTGGCAAGAGGTTCACCTCTTTGGCGAGGAGAAGGTCAGCTGCCCTTGGGAAGGCAGAAGAAAGACAGTATTTCTACCTTCCAGTGGCACTGCATTGCAGATACTGAAACTAGAGACCCAGACCTAATTTTCATTTGGTGAAGTCTGGACAACTTGCACATTCAGAAAAGACTTTAACCATAGCAGTAAAATAATACAATAGAATGGAGCTGAAATACTTCCCTCATGTTTCTCACACTTTAAAGATTAAGGTTACTCTAAATCCTTATTCAAATTTTTCTAATAGTGATCTTCTAATTTTGATGACATGTTTCTAGGAAATAAGTTTCATAATTTCTTATTAGTAAAGCTTCTTACCGAGTACACAAAGAATACTTCCATCAAAACCTGAAGACCAACTAGAAAATTCCCCGTGACCTCACGGACACATCCACAAACTCACAGAATGTTTAGAAATATGTGCCAGTCACATGTGCTTTTCACTTACATTACTTACAAACTTTATGACCTGAAGGGAAATGCTCACTATCTGGACATAATCAGCATTAAATCTCTGTGGTGATCAACACAAGTAAGAGTCACAAATTCTAAGGTGACACCATCATATTAAAAATAAAGCCATACAAATAGTTCTGAGCATCATAAATATACACCAGGACAATGATCTGACATCCTTTATTAATACACACACACACACTTGGAGTCTTGTACTGGACAGTGTAAAATTGTACTTTAAACCAGAAAGTGTTGGAATCAAGAACCATCTCCCCCATGGGGTTTTTTTATTGTTATTAAAACAATGTGCTCTGAAGAGCACTTTAATAGGAAAGCATATTCACATTCAAATATTTTTAAACATTTGGAGTTGCCTCTTCTTCTAAAAAAATTGTAAAGAGACTGCTCCTTATAAAGCATAAATTGTCTTTTGTTTGAGTAAAAATTTTCAGTATCATTTTGCATGTATTAGCCTTCTGCAGGCATGACATCTACCATGATCCAAAGATGCCTTTGACTCTTCTAGGGCAAAAATTCACTAGCTGGTCTTTTTTTAAATACAAAAGACTGAAACACACTGGGTAAACAACACTATCATTAGTAACTGACTTACTGTAACAATATTCATTGACAGTATACTAAAATAAGTCCAAATCTCTAACGAGTCCTTAAAGAAATAACAACCATTTACCATCGTTACCTTTCAAGGCAGCTTAAGATTCACTTTGTGTCTTTCATAAGGTATTTGCTGCTCGGTTTTACTTAACATGCAGCCCAGAACTATAACTATCAACAGAATATTCAACCCAACCAGCAAATTTACAGCCAGTCTCATTATATGATGGGAGTTACTTGTCACTGAGCAGAAAATATTCATTTCACACCTTAAACACTGTAATGCTACTTAATAACAGTGGTAGCTTGCCAACTATTGGAAGTCAGATTTCTTTTTTCTATATAATAAATATATGTGCATAAATATACCCCAGTCCTCACATATATATATACTGCACTATCTTGCTTTATCATCTTGCCTCTAGTTATAACAATAATTCTCTGGCAGAGATATATGGGACCACTTTTAAAATATTAACTAACTTCAGTTTTGTAAGTTGGGCTGTAACCCTCACTGAGAGAATAAGATTATTAGTCTGGTGAAGTCATAGCAACGTAGCCAAAGTCGTATTTATTATATCCACTTTGGACTATGGCATATGGAGATACAAAGACTGTTTTTAACCTCCATTTATCTGTGAAGCATTAAAGACAGCTGAAGATTCACTACAGTTTAGGCTGCCTTAAGTAAATGGGGCCATGCTCTGTCCTCCCACTTACTTTTAGTTGTCCACACTAGCTACCTTCCTTGCACTGGCACCAATATCCATCCAAACCTCTGGCAGGTAAACACTATGAACCAAGTCATCAGAAACCTCTCCCTATAAAGAATGAATAGGTTTGTCCAGGTTAGCTCCCTGGACTGGCTCAGTGAGAGTGCTACTGCAAAGTAGAGAAGGGGTTGGAAGAAAGAGTCAGACCTCAGCACCACAGCTTACACTCTCATGGTACCAAAGCCTATCTGGAGTTGGCTTCTTCTTCAAGTGTTACACTGGGCCTCTGAGCTAATGACTTTCAAGTATAAATGTCCTGGAATTAGTGGCAGAGAGAACTCTCGACTTCTTTCTTGTGCTGATCTGGCTAAATTCTATCTTGCCTGTTTTTTAGAAATTGCTTCATGGTCCCTGTATCTACATATGCTTCCCACCTAAAAAACACAGAGATTATTCTGCATGGTATTTTTGAGCCCTTCTTTTAACTTAAGATAGTATGTTGCACGCATAGAGAAAACAAATATGACAAGAAATAGAGTCAGGCAGAAACCTGGAATGGACCTGCTAACATATTTTTCTCAAAGTGAACATGCTAACTATCGTCGAAAGGTTTTATATCATCACAAAGTAAGTTTCATTAGAGCAGACGTACTACGATACAGAATATTAGAAAGATTTGTAACTCAAACCTCCCCTGTCCCACTGAGTCCCTGCAGGTACATTATTTTTTCCAACCTTGCTCTCAGTCCAGAAGCTTCCTCTGGGTGTTTGAATCGCAACAAACTCTTTGCTGTTCCCTCTAGGTCCTTACAAAAAGTCTTTCTTTTTAGCATCCTCAAGACCAAGCTGTGTTCTCCCTGCTCTTCTCAGCAACCTCTCAGTCTCCAGCCTACAACAGGCTCCTCAGGCCCAGCACAGCTCACTGCCTGCAAGCTGGTGCAATATTCCCAGGACAAGGCAAACAGGCAGGTTTCTCCTGCCTGCCTACACCTCTCTGAAGTACAGACTCCAGTAGATCACAAGCAAAAAAATTAAAAAGATGCCATCCATTATAGTTCTCTAAATGAATTCAAAATAATCATGTGGTAAGCTTGTTTCATTTTGCCATACTTACACATCAAAATCAGATGCAGTCATTCTGGTTAGCACAAATCTCACTATTAAATTACCAGTCACAAGGACATGGATTTAGCATTTGTAGCAGAGGCAGCATTTTGCTGGCTGAAAGATAGAACTACACATCTGGTGATTACCCTTCTGTGCTTTCAAGTGCAACACCCCCTCTAGTATGTACCCAAGCAAGACTCAAGCTCAGTGACAGTGCTGCAGAAAGTTACTCAGCATCATGTTTTTTTGACTGGTGTTTATTACCAACAGAACTGAAATACTATTTTACTATCAGAAAATCTCAAATTTAAGAAATCCTGACTTTGGTTTTTGACCTGAGAGTTCCATGTGGTCCATAGATCCAGTTACTGTGGAGACGACCAGAAAGGTGATCCCTGTTATGTATTTCAACATTTAGCTTAGCTGCTATGAGTTTAGGTAAGAATTTCTGCTTTATTGCATACTTCGGAGGAAAAAAAAAAATCCCTTTAAAAATATTTAGGCTTATAAACATAGTATACTTTCACTAGTCAAGCATTCTGAACAGCTTTTTCAAAAAGAAATAATAATGACGAAATTAACTTTTCAAATCATTAGTTAATGAAGTCCTTCACATCCCTTAGTCTCCTGACTGTTGCAATTTAGAGTGTACAATACTCTTAAAATACATGGACCTGTTCTTTTGCTTTAAATGTATTATGCTGTTTAATATAGTCAAAATTTTAAAAATTAGAAAATATAAAAAATTACCAACCTGTAGGAAATAAATGTTCCATCAGAATCTGAGGTGTGGTGTGTGATTCCATTTTCATTTGATCCTCCTAATACAAAAATAAATGAAAACACCTTTGTTATAAGACAAACCCTGATAATAAATAACACAATATTGATGAGAATTTCAATTGATTTTACCATATACGGCAATTTTAGTTTACAGCAAACTTAAATAGATTAATCCCAACTTTACATCTTCCAATTCTTACAGCTGGCAAGACAGACAACTAGCCTCCATGTTCAATTTGGAGTCTGAATGTTCTGAAAATCCGAGATTTAATTTCACTTTAAAGTTTGGTTTGAGGCCCTTCTCAATTTACTAAACACAATTTTACCAGAATAAGGTTACAGAAGTATATCATACAAATAGATGAGATGATTGCTTTTTAAACCAAAGAATGCAAAAGTTCATTTATTTTATGACTGTATGGTATCAGGTACTTTTTGTCATAGCACAAGTTTAAAGCATCTCTGAAACTACTTCACGTCTGCAAAACGTCTTGTTTTACATCATGTGGGCTGTTTATACATACATCAGCGACATTCATAGAAACTGAGGATTACAAGGAAACCTTCCTCTCTGTAGTAACTAATTCTATTGAAGAACTGTTGAAAGCCAGAAACAATAATCTATTTTTCAAATGAAATTTATCCATGTCCTTTTTTAGACTATTTATTCTTGCCCAACCTGTCATTTAGCTTGATAATTCTTCTATGCCCCTGTGTATTTCCATAATTCATTTACAGACAGCATTGCACACCTTTGTGCCCTCTGTTCTGCTTACTGAAATCAAGTGCTTTCAGTCTTTTCCCGAAATGAGGCTCATTATTCCCTGTTTTGTTTAAATCAGTCCTCCTTACACATGGAAAAGAAGGGACAGGAGCTGTAGACAGAATACTTAAAGTTTAACCAGTTTATTCTTTGCACAGTGGTTTTCCTCACTATCAAAAGAATCTTGCTCGATACAGTCTATAGTCATGCCACACCATCAGTCACCAACACTCCTACATTTTCACTCTCCATTTTTATTTACAAAATAAACAGTTTACAGTAACAATCCTTGCTAGTGCAATACTGTATTTCATACTATTTCATGCTGTTGCTAGTCCTCTTTTCCTCAGAAATGACCTGTCCTACTTGAACTTAGCCTCCTTGCACTGGACACTGCATATTCTACATAACAATATGCAGTATCAGATAGTCTAATATTTTTTCTTCTTAAAAATCTATCAGTGCAGTTTCTCACTTTGTGGCAAGGCAACAGATGAAAGTATTGTGTAAGATCAGTTTCACCACAAACTCCGCTAAAAAAATCCTGTCATTAAAATCTGCATTTCTCTGTTCATCTTATAATTACTATACTTTGCTAATCCCCATCCTTTCTATTTCATAACATCTCCTGTGCACTACACCAGACTTAATGTATTTCCTTAATGTATATTTAGAAAGGCTAGCAGCTTAGCTGGGCTCAGCCTCCTGTTTAACAAAAGGCCTGCACTAAAGTTAAACCATTTGCTTTTTTTTCCTCTCTTACTTCGTCCTTAAAAACTTTCCTAAAGCCCTGCACAGACAACAGTCAACCTATATAACTGCTTAACTGCTTTGCCATCACTATTTTTCTCTTAATCTAAGTACAGGTACTATGTTTCTCCTCCTTCACACATTTGCTATCAGCCATGAACTACAAGACTGAAAAATTGTTGCATGTAGCTGTATTTGTCAGTATTCTTGAAAGACATTTACTCTGCAACTCACATTCTTTACTCTTTATTATATAGGCTAATTTATATTATATACCCAACAACCTTTTGTTTGTGTTTGTGTTGTGTTGGTGGGTTTTTTAAATTATTATTCTTTAATTATTTATTTTCAGGCCTTCGCTTGAAATTTTGTTTTTACGCAAAACTAAAACTTTTCTGATTTAGACAACACCTGAATTACACTTAATTTCATTTGCCCATTTGCACTGCACAATGGTTCTAGTTTTCTTCCCCTGAAAGCTTCTTTACACATTCAAACAATATTTTCTTGTTAATGATCTAATTCAGCTTAACTTTTGTTAATTGTCACTATAATCCCACACTTTCTGATAGCCAGGAGGTAACCTTCTTTGCTGATCAAGCTGGTTTTGTTTCTTCCAAGATCTTTGCTTACTCCAGACATTCCTTAAAAAATACCTAATCACTCACTTTGCCAGAACTTTCCTTCCAAGTGTTTTTTCTCATCTAATTTGGAATGCAGTTTTTTTATGAACTTTTGTACCATTGGCTAAAATAAATCCCAAACCTCTATCACATTTGAGCCTAAAATCACTCCATCCAGTTGATTTCACTAATTAGCTCTCAATTTATTTTGAAAATGGAAATCTTACTTAATTGTTCTGCCTTTTGTTTACTAAATTTAACTAAATTAATAACACCAGATATTTCATCCAGGAGCCGACCTTCCCGTTATTAATAACCATCTGTTCCTTGTATCTTGGAAAACAGTGTCCCATACTGGGACAATCTTAAGTAATATGCTTCTTCATACATTGCCCATCTCCACGTCTGATCCTGACCATTCAGAGAAACAACCGAACTATGTTCAGTTTCTCCTAAAGCCATAATGGTTAGGGGCAGTGATACTGGGCAATTGTTTATAGGGACACAGCACATGAAAATAGGTCCTGAATGCACTACTGCACCTTTTTTACACTTACACAACTCCTAAGCATTCGCCTACCACACTAGCCAGACTCAAAAAGAAAACTCATTCACAATGTGAAGTTCATATGCTGAAAAATATCTTTTGGGACTCTTTTCAATAATGGCAACATGATCTTTTCTGAAGAATAATGTTTAAGAATATCTCAAAAAATTCAAAGCCTTTATCGTCTTTCAACTAAACCATTTGTCCTGCTTTGAGAGTCAACAGCACTCTGCAATAGAAACCAAAATCATGGTGTTAAGAAGTTGTTTTTTCATCAGGATCCCACATTGAACATTTGGAGGGATCCTGGGGCTGCTACACCCACTGAGCTGTCCTTCACAAACCACTCCAAGTGTAGCTTGCTTTATACTGAAGCACTCTCTCAGAAGACAGTAATTTCCTTTATTTAAATGATCACCACAATACTTTAACATTTTTAATTGTAGACCCATTCTAAATAAATCTCATATTCATACAAGCAATTCGTGATCTTTTTTGTTGTTGGTGGTTTATTTTTGAGAGGTGCTTTTGCTGCTCCATTTTATCATTAGCAGCGGCTGCCAAAACTGGATAGGACTAGGTACATCCAGATCTCAAAAGCAGGACTTAGCAGATTGGGCATTTCTGTCATCGTTTTCTTCCTCCATCCCCTTTAAGACAGATATGTCTGTTACGACATCTTGAAAGATGATTTAGGTATCTTTCACTGAAAGTGATAAAAATGATAAAGCAAAGTGAAAAGTATTCATTGACTTAGGATTTTTACCTACTTTTATCCACAAGGTTTTCTAGTAAATCCTGGTAAGTTTTCATTGTAAGCAATGTTGAGAACAAATGGGACAGGTGCTTCACCAACTAATGACAATAAGCTGTGGGAATCCGTGGCCTCTCCTCAGGCAAGTGACCTAACTTTCTGGTAAAATTAGGATGTATACTGAACAGTTACGAATGTAAGATTCATTATGCTGGTAACAGAGTTTTCTGTCTCCTTTAAAAATCCTAACTGATTCAGTATTAGCCTGATCTTCAGATCCTTTCCAAGACTCAAATTGGGAAGAAGGGCTCTGCTGAAGAAGCAGAGGATGCTCTACAAACCCTGCCCCACATTCCTGAAAAGGTTTCCCAAACTTCAAATGCAAAAGGGGAAGAAGGGGGGGGGGGGGGGGGGGACTCTTATCACACTTGCAGAAGTAAGAGAAGGGAAACAACCAGTACCATAAAAAGCACCAGCATCAAAGTAAGTATGGCTAAGGTGCCTAGCTTTCAGCAGTAAAGCAGTCACTGGTTTTAACACAATAAAAAAGTAAGGCTGTGTGCTTCCCAAGGGACTGAAAATCTTCTGGATTATCTTTCTAGCTGCTTCTTTACCTGGAGAAACTCCTTCTTCTGGGAATGAACACTTTCCCTGGAGAGAATTCAGTTTTGTTGCCCTATTTTAATAAAGGCTGCTCTTATGCAAGAAAACCAAGGGCTAAAGGGAGCTGGGACTTAGGTAGTTGGGACCTGGTACTACTGCACACAGCTGGAGGCTGTTTAAAGAGAATGTGCATAACTAGAAATTGATGCTTTTACTAATGAGTCAAAAAGAACGTTTCAAATGTTGGCTTCTTTAGATTTCTGAGAAGGATGTGAAAACTGTACATTTATTAGAGTACTACAATCACCCAGAATATACATGCTTGTCACTAGCAGTAACTGCTTGTAAGAACATGTTTGAGATTCTAGATGTACCATAAAATAGACGAACCCAGAATAAGGAGGATGCCAAATACACTTTCTGAAGCTCATCTGAAAACCATGTGTAGAAACTGTAACATGGAGAAGCCTAACTTAAAGATGAACATTATTTTTGTATTTTAATTTTTAACAGTCTATTACACTGATAGTGCACTATCTTCTCAAAGAAGAGCTTGTTCAAGGTGCAGTACAGTTTCCACTTCAGGCAGTACGAAGAAACTCGACAGCGTTTCAGAGTCCCAGTTCAAGGGTGGGAAGATGCTCTGAGTACATACCAGGCACAATGAGCACTCTGAGCTCAAGCATGTGCTCAGCAAGAGTAAAAAAGTATGTGAAGAACAATGGAGGGATCAGACGTTTCTCAGTTTTTTGTAAGATGCGAAAATTCAGCACAGGACTTCTTATAAAGAAGGGGTGGGATGCCATCATAACGAGCTGGAAGTCCACAAAGACAAGAAGCCTGAGCGACATCTCCTTAGTCTATGGATCTACTCCTACTTTTAAAAATACTTGAACTATTTTTTTATTTTGAAAATACGTTTTCATACTAAAGAAATGTCTTTACATAGATACGTATTTCTGTACATATGTGTACACACACATTCCCATGTCTGTGTG